GCTCATTGCCCTATATCCCACCCAGCCGCAGGACTCTACTGCCGCCCGCGCCCCGCCCCATCTGGCCGCTTGCGCGCCCCATCCCCCCTCGATGGGGCCCGCCCACACCGGGGCCTCCCCCCTCCCGCCCACTGCTTTCTCAACGGCCCCGAGCCGGGGCTGCCCTCATTGCATACATAGTGCGCCTTTCCCTGCTTTTCTAGTGACCTAGCGTTCCGCACTGCCGTTTGGCCAGCCCATGCTCCCGTACCGTTGCGTTTCTCCCCAATGCGCCATGCCACTTTGCCAGTCATACACACGTTTCGATGCGTGCCCTGTCAGCTGCTTGCGTTGCATGTCGCCTTGCTCCACCCCTGTTTTATTGCTTTCTCTGCTTTCGCCCGGTTCCCGTCCCGTTTCGGCGGGGAGTCTATGTTGCAAGCTAGTTCTTGCTTTACCAGACTTTAAGCCCACACAAGCAAAGTAGGCCTGCTTGCCAATCCAGCTGTTGCGGCAGCGCTCCTGATGCTGCGCCGCATCGCACTCTGTTGCCTGCCCCGCAGTGGGGCACCAACCACCAGCTGACCATCGAGCAGCCCGGCCTGCGCATCCGCATCACCCAGCCCTTCTTCAAGCGCCGCAGCGCCTACATGCCATGGCTGGACACCTGGGTGACCCTGACGCAGGCGCCTGCCACGATGGGCGGCGTGCTGGGCGGCACGCTGCCCGGCGCTGATGCCCCGGCCACCCCCGGCCCGCTCACCGCCGGCATCGTTTCCTCTGGCACTGCCTGAGAGCTACTCCTCTTCACATCTTCACCACTGACAACAACGAGCTTACCTGACATGGCACTGCAAAGCGTGCCTCCCCTGCTACCTGACCACTCCTCGCAGCATACTGGTATTGTACGTTGTGCTGCCCATGCTACCCCCTTTGCACTCATTTAACGGCCCACGTGGCACTCTTCAACACCCCCTTCTCCATTCTTCAACCCACCATTCTTACATTCTTCGACCACACTCTCAATTTTCCCTGAGCATTTGTACGCCTTTCGGCATGCCTCTTCGATTTTTCCTGGGCTGCTGCAGCTGCCGGGGAGGACGCACGCAGTCGCTTCTTTGGTCTGGCGGCCCTGCCGCCTCCCCGCATGCTTCCAGCAAGTATCCTCCTCTTACCCACCGCCTCTCTCATTCTTATCGTTCTTGATCTTGATTCAGTCCTGCGAGCGACTTGTAACCTGCAGCTGGCTCTGTGGCAGGTCCTGGAGGGGGATGGAGCAGGAGGGTGCGGCGGCGCCAGCGTTGCCAGCGGGCATAGCTCTCTGCCTCTCGTCTATCGTCTTATTTGGCATGCGCATTGCATGCTATCAACTACAAGACGTTCAAAGCGTTGCCGCTTCGCGCGTTCGCCAAGTTTCAGTACCCCCGCGCCCACAAGCTCGCAGGTGAGGGCCGGATCCCGTGGCACTGAGCTTGATGCAATAGCCAGAACGCAATGCGCCTAGCAGCTGCGCGCTAGCTTGTAGTTGCACCCCAGGCATGTGCACTTGTGTCCAAGCCTGTCGGCTATCTCTGGTTCGGGTCCTAACACACGCCTAGTGACGTGCCGCCTCCATGTAGCAGACAAGGCGCCGCTGGACTTGTCGCCGCCGCCGCCGACTCTGCACCGCCGGCACTGCACGCCCAGTGGGCAAGGATCAGCTGTCGGATGCACCGAGCGGGCCTGGCAGGGGTATTGCTGCTCCTCGCAGGCTTAGCCGTCGCTTCAGGAAACAGCGAAAGGTATGGCTGCAGGGCAGGCGGCCGCTCCACTCATTCCTGCTGCCGCTCGGCACTTCTGTTGCCAGCTCCTTCCCCCTGGTGCTGCTGCTGCAGGTCCTTGCTGGAAGATGAGGTGCAGGCTGCCATCCGCAACGGCCTCGACGCCCCATCCAATAGGCAAGCCTGTCCTCCCTGTGCGGTGCATGCTAGCCTGTGCCTGCGTGCCGCCGCTATTGCGCCGAGGCTGACACGCTGCGTTGCCACACCGCGTGCTGCTCCGCTGCGTGCAGGTTTCGTTACATGGTCAGCCTGAGGGATGCAGCCACGCGCGTGCACTTCTGCTCAGGTGCGGTGCAAGTCTGCAGGATGCGTGGCAGCTGAGCGGGCACACCTCGTGGCGCGCAGGCTGAGCTGGAACAGGCCGTACCCCCTGCAGGCACCCTGATTGCGCCAAGCCTGGTGCTGGCGGCAGCCCACTGCTTCCGAGACGCAGATTCGGGGTTGGATGAGCTGGACGAAGCATTCCTGCCGCGGGTGCGCCAACCGCAACTCATGGCATGATGCCAGCTCGCTCTGGGCTGCTGCGCTGGCCTGCCGGGGCTCCCCAGCCGCGCCGCCATAGGTCAAAGCGAGGGCGCTGCGCTGCCAGCAGCCTCTCCACTGCCGCGCCTCCACTCCTGCCTGCCTCGCTCCCTCCCCTGCCATGCCCAGGTTCGCATAGGGGGGTACCGCCTATCGTTAGACAGCCCTCGTCGGGGGCGGTTTGAGAGCCGGCACGTCATCAAGACGCTCATCCACCCTCGCTTCACGACAGGGTTCACAGACCCGCTGACCTACGACCTGCTGAACCACGATGTGGCCGTGCTGCTGCTCAACAAGCCAAGCGCGCTGGCGCCAGTACGGCTGGCGCCATACAAGGGCGAGTGGCTTCGGGAGCGCGGTGGAAGGGCGGTGTGTTGGGTGGTGGTGGGTAGGAAGGCGTTTGCAAGAGCCGATTGTTTTCTGTTTGTGTATTGCATGCGTGGGTCACGCTTGTGGCGTGGCACGGGGCATGGCCACAGTGCGGTACCGCCTTCCAGCCAACGTGCCATGCCGCCCGCCTGCAGCCAAGGCTCCCTGGGCCAACCCGGTGCCTGATGGAAGCCACGTGCTGACTCTGGGTTGGGGCTACCTGCGAGGCGAGCCCGAGTGGACCGAAGCAAGACGAGTTGCAGATGTGGGAGGGTTGCTGGGCGAGCATGCAGCACCCCCTGCCCGTTGGCTGTCGGGCCCCTGAGGCGCTGGGGGTGAGCCTCCCGGTCACCCCACCACCCTTAAGCTCCCCCCTTTCCGCCCACGCAGCTGCGGACCCGCGTGCTGCCACTGAGGGAGTGCCAGCGGCAGGTGGGGGCCACCACCTTTGAGGACGGCTTCTGGGAAGTGCACAAGATTGTGATTCGCTTCCGATCCAACGCCATGCTGTGCTGCTCCCGTGAGTCGTGTTGAACGGGCGCCGCTGCCGCTGATGAGCGCCTCTGCTGCCGCGTCTGCTTCACCTGCCTAGCCTCCACCCGCTGCTGCCGCCGTCGGACGCTCTCCAAGCCGGTCCTCCTGGGAGTGCCCCTTCCAGGCCTGCACCCGCCCAAGCGGTCCGGGGTGTGTGGGGGCGACTCGGGCGGACCTCTCATTGTGGAGGGCCCCACGGCCGGGCAGGACGTCCAGATAGGAGTCACCAGCTGGGCAGGCAGCCCCTGCGGCAACGGCGAGCCAAGTACGCCGCTGCCTCCTCTTTTGCTGCTGCACCTGCTGCTGCCCGAGTGCTGCACCTGCACCTGCTGCCATGCCATGCCATTCCCTGACCGTCCTGGCAGTCCGCGGCCATGCTGAGTGGCCGCTGCCGGCGAGCGTGCAGGCGTGTTTGCTGATGTCGGCGTCCTGCGGCGGTGGATCGACCGTGCGGCGCTGGAGCTGACAGGCAAGCCGCTGCCGGGCGGGAAGCGGACCGTCACGCTGGCGAAACTTAGGCGGCGCAAGGGCGGATGAGTGCTACCCTACGGCCATGTCAATGATTGTAAACCGCTTCTCGATCTTGAATCGAACTAGACCCAGTGGGAGAGTGGCAGGATGAGCCGGCAGCAACAGAACTCCCACAGACACGGCGCCGGCGCCCCCATGCATGAGTCAGCTGCGGCGGTCGGTCACATCTGTGAACATGTGTGCTCCCGAGAGTCGTCCTGATCGTCGTTCTCACCGGCATTTCGTGATCGAAAGCCCCTGTGGACAAGCCAGCACTTGGGGACTGCAGTGCGCCATGGGGGACCCCATGCCGTTGTAGTTGCCTGCGGGTACTGTAAGTTGGGCAGATAGCCCCCGTGATCGGCGCCAGCACAAAGAAAGGCGCGGCAACCTGCCTGGGCGCCTCAGTGTGGTGTCGGAGGCATGGCGCGGCCTCACGCGTTCCGGCTGTGGCTTCTGCTGTGGCAGGTGGCGGGCACATTGTCGTCTGCATCCCCAGAGAGGTAGAAAGTGCCGTCAGGGTGCAGCTCCTACGGTTGGAGCCGACGACGGTGGCGCTCCAACCGCCACTGGCGGCGCCTGCCTGACACAAGTCCCCAGTGTCCCATTGTCTGACACTGGGCCGTGCAGGCGTCTGCTGCGAGACGAAAGTGTGGAGGCGGCCATTCGCAGCGGCACCGCTGCCCCCGTGGGAAGGCAAGCTTGCCGCCTCGTCCGCCGGCCACTGCTGCTCTGCATGCTGCCCGCCACTGCCTCTTCCGTGCCGCCCATGGCTGCTGCCAGCTGTCCTCAAGGCGTGCCTACAAGCCTGCCTGCAGGTTCCGCTATGTTGCCAGCCTGCACAACGCGCAGACGCGAGGCTTCTTCTGTTCAGCCTCGCTGATCGCACCCGCCGTCGTGATGTGTGCCGCGCATTGCTTGAGAGACCCATTCACTGGCACCAACAAGCCACGTGCTTCCTTTTTGCCTGAGGTTGGGGGGGGGGGGGGCAAATGACGCAGCGGTAGGCAGTGGGCGGCGGTGGGTCTGCTTGTGAGATTGTTGGTCGGTGGTGGAAGCTGTGTCCAATGCCAGCAGGCAGGCGGCCAGGCCTGCACTGATTGCAGTTTGGTGGAATCTGGAACACGTTCCAGCTGCTCACTGCTCACTGCTCACTGCTGCACAGGTGCGCCTCGGTGGCTACCGCCAGCCGGGCGGCAGGCGTGGCGCCAACGAGCGGCGGCGGGCCGTGCGGGCGCTCATCCACCCTCGCTTCAAGACGGGGGTCACAGACCCGCTGACGGATGATCTGCTGAACAACGATGTGGCGCTGCTGCTGCTGGACCGACCCAGCACCATGCCGCCTGTGCGGCTGGCGCGCCACCGGGGTGGGTGCGGCGGGCTGGGGTGCAGGGGCCACGGCGTGGTGCGGCTGGCTGGCCTGCTTGGATGCGTGCAGGGCGCGGTGGACCAGGCGGCTAAGCCTGCAGCAACATGGACAGTTTGGGCCCTTGGCGGCAGCTCACCGCAGTGCTGGGAGGTGCGCGCTCCTCCCCGCTTTCCTCCCTGCAGCCAAGGTGAACTGGACCAACCCCGCGCCTGACTACACCACTGTGACCATGCTGGGCTGGGGGCTGATCTACCCAGACCCAGCCGACCAATCCGCGGCCCGCCTGCCAGACAGGCTGCAGCTGGTGAGGCAGGCAGGAGGGCACCTGCCAGGCTGCGCCGCAGCATCAAGAAGAAGAGGGCCAGCCAGCCTGCATGCATGCCAGTTGCATTGGGTCTGTTAGTGCGCAGCTCAAGGTCAGGGGCGCCCCCTGCACGAGCGGCCGCTGTGCCCTGGCTTCCCTCGCCGCTGAAACGCAGCTCACCACGACGCTGCTGCCCCTGGCGACCTGCCAGAAGGAGAGGCGACTCTCGCTGTTCACCGATGATCAGGGGCGAGGGCATCATGTGGTGTACAACTGGGACACCAATACCATGATCTGCACCAAACGCAAGTCCTGGGCTGCGTGCTGGGAATGCATCGCCACTCTGCCCTCGTCCGAAGCCGTTGCCAGCTGCCCCCCATGGCGTCCCTCCCCGGGCCAGCAGTGCCTGCTCGCTGGCTTGCCGGATGCGGGCCGCACTGCCAGCCGTTGAACTCCTGCTTGCCTGCTGCAGGGCTGGCCAAACCGCGGAGAGCAGGGGCGTGCCCTGGTGACTCTGGCGGGCCCGTGGTGCGCCGGGGCAGGAGTGCAGCGCTGGACGTTCAGATCGGCATCAGCAGCATCCACCCCCTGCCCTGCGGCAACGGCAGAGCAGGCAAGTTCTTAGCTGCTGCCTGCGCCGTGCTGTGCAGCGCAACGCGGCGCTGCACCATGCTGTGGCGTGTTGCCGGCACTGCAGCCTGTGTGTCCTATGTGTGCTGACCTGTGAGACAGCCCATGCTGCCGCAGCTCGCTTCCCGTACCGCCTGCTCCCGCTAAGCTAAGCTGCTGCAGATGGGCTGACGGATGTGGCTTCAGTGAGGAACTGGATTGATGCGGCCGTGCGTCAGCTGACGCAGCCACGGCGTGGCAATGTAAGGGGGCCGGGACGTGCACCCAGCATAGACGTAGTGCCTGTCCGCCTCCCCCACGACGTTGCATGCACGTGCGTGGCTCCTCCCCCTGCATGCCTGCTTGCAGTGACTGCTGGATTTCGCACCAATGAAGCAGCACCGCCATGCCGCGACTGGTGTGTTGGCACATGGCTGATCGAGGCAGCCCCAGTCGTTCTGAAGACTGGTGCCCAGACGAGAAGGTGCGCTGCAGGAGGCTTTGTAACCCAGGGTGGGCCCCACCTGCACACTCCGCCTCGCTTGACAGAGCGCTGCGCCACCCTCCCCTGCCCGCAGCGGTGGCTTCCGGGCGGCTGCCCACAGCACCATGCCAAGCCCCCGCAGCTGCCAGTTGCAACACTAGTTCTTGGCGTATACTTACATGCGCCCTGCTTGGCTGTAAGGCAATAATGAAGAATTGATGTGGCAAGCGTGGGCCGGCCTGCCCGACCCGGGCCCGGCCCCTCGGCGGTCGGTGGCCCGCGGCTGCATGCGGCTGCACGGTGGCTGGCTGGCTCATGGCTCATGACCATGACCAGCTCAGATATCGTCCTCTAGGTCTTCCAAGCCTGCCGCCACGGGTGCCGGTGCCGCCGCTGCACCATCGCCGCCGCCCCGCATCAGCCGCCGCTTGCCTGCCGGCTTGCCCTGCGCCTGCCGCCCCGCCTGCTGAGCCTGCGGTGCAGCATTCTCATCCACGCCGGCAGCAGCTCCCGTGCCGCCGCGGCCCTCCTCCTCTGCATCCCGCCACTCTGCCAGCGGCTCAGTTGCAGGCGGGAGCGAGGCAGGAGCCGCCGCTGCCGTGACCTGCTGCCTGCGCTGCCGCAGCGCGTCTAGCGCGGCCCGCTTCTGCGCGCTGCTAGGCCCCGCTGCCTCCTCTGCAACCTTGCGCTTGGTGCCTGGCGTGCCGCGGCCTTCGCCATGCCGCTGCTGCCGCCGTCCTCCCTCCTCCTCGCCCCCCTGCCGCCGCGCTTTCTTTGTCTTCTGCTGCTGCTTCTGCGCGGCCGGCTGCCTCTTCCGCTGCCTGGCAGGAGCTGCCTCCTCCTCCTCGTTCCCAGCCTCGGCCGGCTCGCTCTCCCGGGCGCTCTCAAACCCGTCCTCGCTGCCGCTGCCCCCCGCACCGTCGCTGTCGTTATCCGCAGCGTCGGCGCCGGCAGCTGCCGGCCCCCGCTTGGGTTTCTTGGACGCCGGCGCCTCGGCATCCGTGCCAGCCGCCGCGCCGCCGTCTCCGTCGCTGTCCAGCAGGCTGACAAAGCTGCCTCCTCCGTCGCTGGAGGTGGGGCTGGCGGCGGCGGCCGCCGCAGCCGCCTGCTGCGCCGCGATGCTGTCGCCATCGCCTGCCGTGCCATCCTCCTCATCCTCTGACCCCAGGGCCGCAGCGCCGAGCTCAGGGCTCATCTCCCTGCAGCACAAGTGCGTGGGCCAGGTCGACAGATGGCGAAAAGCGCGGGTACATCACTGCTGCCAGGTGTGCTGCACATGCAGCATGAGAGACCGGACAGAGAGAGGGACAGCGAGCCTGGCAGCTGCCGGCCAAGTTGCCTGATGCAGACCCCTGATCCAGCCCACCTGGCATGCTGCCGCTGCACCTTGCGCCGCCCCGCATTGCTCTGAAGGGCCTCCAGAGCCGCCTGCCGCCGCGCTGCCTTGCCCTGAACGCGGCCTGCTGTGGCGGCGCCGGCGGCCACGGCGGGAGCGCCCTTGCCGCCGCCGTCGCTGCTGCTGCCGCCATCTGCGCGCAGGGAAGGGTGCAGCAGGGGGGATCTGTTTCATGCAGGCAGCCGCAGCCAGCCGAATCATCAGGCTGATGCATGGGTATGACGGAGCTGCAACATTAAATGCCTGGGGTACGTCCCAGCAGTACAACACGGCGGTACAGGCTGTACCTGAGTCGCTGCCGCCACCATCACTGCCTTCCTCCAGCTCGGACCTGGCTGAGCCAAAGCCCGAGGCGCCGCCATCCGACTCTGAATCGCTGCCGCTGCCGCCGTCACTGCGCGGCAAGCGCTGGTGGGCGCCGCCCGCCTCGTCGCCGCTGCTGGCTGCCAGGGCATCAAAAGCGGCGTCGCTGCAGGCATGCATGCATGCGGGGAGTGAGTGAGTGAGCAGCATGCACTCTGCTGCTTCAGTACGTGGGGGGTAAGCAGGACATGATACGCCCAGGTGCCATGGCAGGCCCTGGCGCAGAGCCTGCGGCACCCAGCCAGCGGCAACGGCCCGTGCCAGCCAGCGGCAACAGCCCGTGCCAGCCGGCCACCCACCCCTGCGCCTGCTGCTGCCGCCTCTTCTTGTGGGGCACGATGCCCAGCTTCTGCAGGTGGCGCTTGACCTGCAGCCGGGCAGAGGAAAGCGGGAGGAAGCAGAGGAGCAGGGGTGGCGGTCAGTGATCCGCTGCTGGAGCATTGGTCCGTGCCTCAAGGTCCCAAATACAGCAGCACCACTACCACTACATGAGCAGCAGCAGCAACGCGGCAGCAGGCAGCAGGAAGCAGCCACAGTCAGCCAGCCAGCCAGCGGCCGAGGTGGCGTGCCTGGCGGGCGGTCAGGCTGCCCCCCAGCTCTTCAGCAATGAAATCGAAGCAGTCCTTGCTGGCCATGCGCTCAGCATACAGCTCCTTCATCTGCGCCACCTGCAAGCGGCGCAGCACAGAGACAGGCAAGCCAGGAGAAGACCAATACTTGATGCAGCGGCTTCGGGAAACAGCGATGGATGCCGGCATGCCGGCGTCACGGCGTGGCAGCGGCGGCAGTGGCGACGTGGCGCCACGCTGTGCCTTGCCCAGCCCTCTGCTTGACGCTGCTGGACGGCAGCTGGCGCAGCCAGCCCCACCGCTCCCAGGCAGCGTCGCCAATGCACCGCTGGCACCGCAGGAGCCCTCACCTGCTGGTCTGAGAACTTGGGGGCGGCACCCTTCCTGCCCGCCACCACGCCTATCTTGCGCAGGTGAAATTTGACCTGTGTCGGTGGGCAGTCGCCGAACAGGAGCAGCAGGCGGCAGCAGGCAGCGACATTCACGGTGAGCATGAAGAAAGGCGCTGCAGGCTGGTGCAGGGCTGGGATGAATGGCGGCCCTGGACTGTGGGACTTGTGGCCAGGCAGCATCAGCCCCGCAGCGACTGGCGGCATGGCTTCTGGCCTGCAGCCCCGCAGCCCACCTGGTTGGCAGTAAAGCCCGCATCCAGCTCTTCCGCCAGCAGCTGGAAGCAGTCCAGCCTGCCCCGTACCTCCTCGTACCGCTCCGCCAGCCGCTCGTCCTGCACATGCATGAGCGGTGGGGGTGTGGAAGGCAGCTGCGGAGAGGCAGGCACACACCGACCGCAGGCAGGCAGGCGACAGGCCAGGGGTGCGCTGGCATGCCCGATCCCACGCCCAGAGCCAGGCTGCGGCCCCACTCCCTTGCACAGCACTGTCAGTCCCACCTGGTTCTGTGTGAACTTGCCGCATGCCAACCCCATGGCCTTGAGCTGCCGCGATATCTGCCCTTTCTTCCACTGCCCCCCGAACTCGAACACCAGCGCATCCAGGCAGCCCTTGCGCCCGTTGCGCTTCTCAAACTCGGCTTGCAGCAGGGCGGCCTGCACAGCGGCAGGTGGCGGCGCGTGTGTGTTGGTGGCTGGGTGGCAGGGAGGCAGCCAGAGGTGCGAGTGGGCATACAGCGCACAGGCTGCACAGATGCAGCGGCAGGCAGGCAGGCAGGCAGGGGACAGAAAGGCAGGCAGGGGAGCCTCCCGGGCTCCTTAATGTGGCAGACAGGAGGGGGCCATCTGCCCACCCACACAGCCCACCAAGCCCACCTGCTCCTCGGTAAAGGTCCCCTTCTTGCGGAAGCTGGCAAAGCCCAGCTGCTCGCCGTCAGAGCCCTCGTCGTCGCCAAGCGCCGAGCCGCGGCCGCGGCGCCCGCCGCGGCGACGGTGCTCCTGAGGATCCACCAGCCCCTGCAGGGAGAGAGGCAGGGTCGGTCGGCGTGTGTGCATGTGGTGGCTGTGTAAGCGAGGGAGACAGTACGCCAGCCCCTGCCATTCCACGATGGGGAAGCAGCCTACACACAGCAGCAGCCAATGCCAGCGGCAGCACATGTAGGAAGCGCCTCAGCCAGCAAGCAGCCCCTGCCGCTGCCGCACCCTCCAGTTGTACTCATTCCGCACATCCTCCGCCACGTTGGCGCCCTTCCAGAACAGCAGCTCGACAAACAAGGCGTTGGCGGCATTCTCCCGCGCCTGCGGCAGGGAGGCCGGTGAGGAGGCAGCAGTTCCGTGGAGAGAGGCACGGCTGCGGGCTGATGCACCCTGGCCAAACCACCCGGCAACGCTCTGAAAGCGCCTCCCGCGCAGCGCAGCACACGGGCATCGCCTCCAGTCCCACCTTTACCTCCGCCAGCGCCAGCCGCCGCTCCCGCCTTGCCTCCTGCTCCGCGCTGTCGGCCTCTTGCTCGCCGCCGCCGCCCTCCGCGGCAGCAAAGCGGGCATCCAGGTTGGCCTCCACTTCCCCGGCCTTCTGACGCAGCTCAGAGAGGTCGGGCACCATCCTGCAGGAGAGGCCAGGCAGGCATGGGGCCTTGAAGGGTGGGACCTCTGGTGCGGCGAAAAGGCAGGGAATTAGCGCGCTGCAAATCCCATGCATTCGGCGCTTTCCACGCCACCGGGCAGCCCTGCCCTGCTCGCAGCACGACAGCCCCCGCCCTCACCGTGCAAACATGTTGCGCACGGTGCCCTTGGCAAAGGCGATCAGCTCGGCATAGTCTGGGTTGCGCTTGATGACCAGGTCAGACAGGATGGCCTCAAACAGACGCAGCACGCTCAGCTGCAGGGTTGCGGCAGGGGCGGCCAGCGTGGCAGGCAGGCAGGCAGCCAATCAGGAAGCGCAGGGTCGGCGGGGCCGTGTGGCTGGGGTTGGCGGTGCAGGGAGGCGAGAAGGCACCGGCGCTGGCGGCACAGGGCGAGGAAGCAAGTGCAGCCCCACGCGGCCTGCCCCGGGCTTTGCCCAGCGCAAGGCGTTCCTCCCTTGCCTGAAGGGGGCTGCCTCACCTTCAACCCGCCCACCACCACACACACTCCGTGCACAAACACATCACACACGTATCCCTGTGCACACACAGACACACACACACACACACCTGGTACAGCATGGGCTCCAGGTTGAGCTGGCGCGGCTCGGCGATGCGGCGCAGGAACGACAGGATGGCGTGGTTGGTGAAGGGCGCGTTGGTGCGGTAGCCTTGCAGCAGCCAGGCGTAGAAGTGCACGATCACGGGCTGGGCGCACTCCTGGCGGATGCGGCGGGCCGCCTCAAAGGCCACCTCGCGTGTGACGGCGCGGGGCCGATCAAACTCGCCATCCTGTCGAGGGGACGGCGGCGGGGTGTGGGTTTGGCGGCGTTGTGTGAGAGTTTTTGGATGGTAGTGCACAGCGGAGGTGGGGCACAGCTCTCCAGATACTGTACAGCCAAAAGCCGGCAGCAGCAGCAGCAGCAGCGCCACCACACAGCGGCAGGCAGAAAGCAGCAGCAGCAGCGCCACCAAGGCAGCACCAGCAGCGCTCACATCATCCAGAGGGTCGCCGCTGCGCCCCACACGCTGCGCCAGCTCATCGTCGCCGCCCTCCGACCCCGCCTTGCTGCCGGCAGGGCTGCCCTGCTGCTGCTCCTCCTCGCCGCCCGCCGCAGCTGCAGCGGCGGCACCCTCCTCCCCAGGCTGCTGCTGCTGCTGGCTGGCGTCGTCATTTGCCGCCGCCGCATCCTCGCCAGCGCCCTCGCCCTCCGCAGGCTGCTTGTCGGCTGGAGAGGGGGCGGGCTTCTTGCGCCGGCCACCGCCCTGGCGCGCCGCCGCCCTGACCCGGAAGCCACCTGGCTCTGCAGGCAGCGGACGGGAGGCGATCAGTCCCCAGCAATGAGCGCATATCATAGGGCCGCTGCAGTGCTCAATTCCCAGCACCTGAGGGTCCACACACACACACACACACACACACTCTGACCCTCCCACCAGAAACGTCGCCCGCCGACGGCAGACGGTGCCCCATGCCCCACCCCTGCGCCATCCCTACCCACATCTGCACCCCCACCCTGTATCCCTGTACGCTCACCTGCAGATGACAGGCGGTCCAGCATGCCCAGCACGACGTGCAGCGTGCCGATGAGGTCCACGGCGTGGGAGCGGGGCTGGAAGCGGAAGTTGTAGCCCTTGATGAGGCGGGACAGCACCTGCGGTACCAAGGGCAGTAGTACCATGGCACCGGGATGTGAAGGACCGCGCAGAGAGGCGTGCGCATGCTGCATGGCTGGCAGCAGGCGCCGGCAACCCGCCCGGTGCAAGCTGCGCCAGCGAGCTACTCCCGGCCCAGCTGGCCACCACGGCAGTCAACCCATCCACCCGCCAGCCCCACCCGGCCCGCCTCACCGGCAGCAGCCCCGACTCCTTGAGGTCGTCGTGCAGCAGGCGGCGCTGCAGGCGGTCGGCGGCGCGGCGGTCGGCGGCGTTGCCCGCCACCCGCGCCAGGTCCAGCGCCAGCAGCATCTCCTTGAGCAGCGGCACCGAGGCGTGCTGCAGGTCCCAGTTCTTGTCCGAGTGGTCCTTCTGCCGCCCGCCGCCCTCCATGTTGCTGCAGGCCCCAGGGGCGGGCAGAAGATCGGGGCAGGCGGTCGGAGAGAGGAGGCGACGAGGCGAGGCAGGCTTTGAACCCACCCCTGAGTCCGAGACGGCGTGCCAGGCGCAACCAGGGATGCATGCGGGATGCATGCCCCACCCTCCAAGCCGGCACAGCCTTCTCTAAGGACCAGGACCATTCACCCCACCCTTATCACCACCACCAACAACAACACACACACACACACACACCTCAGCATGATCCACAGCATGGTGACCCAATGGAAGCAGTCCCAACCCATGGTGGCGCTGATGGAGGAGAAGGGGGAGGCCTCGTCCTCGCCGCCTGGCGCCACGTCAGCGCCACCTGGCGTACCATCAGCGCCGGCGCCACCAACAGGCGACACGCCCGCGCTGCCCCCGTCCTTCTCCGCCTGCAGCCTGGCCTGCAGCTTGCGTTCCTGCGTACAGCAGGTAACGCAAGGGGTGTGAAAGGGGAGGCAACAGGAGTGGGACAGCACCGCATGGTTTGGTTTTCAAGCGGGCGGCTGGCGACCACCTCGGAACGACCACCTTGGCAGGAGCAGCCCCCACGGTCGTGCAGCAGCAGCCATCCAGTACGTAGCACCAGCAAGCCCTCGCGGCCATGCGGCAGCAGCCATCCACTATGTAGCAGCAGCAGCAGCAGCCCCACAGCCTATCTGTGGCGGCGCCCAGACAGAAGCCCCACCCCGCCCACCTCCTTCAGCCGCACGTAGCGGGTGCAGTAGGTGGCCAGCCGCACGAAGTGCATGAAGTCGGCATCCCCCAGGCGGCTGATGTTGAGGCCCGGCTGCACCTCGCGGAACACCTGCAGGGGGAAAGGAAGAAAGCGAGGAGAGGGTGGGAAGAGGGTGGGGAGAAAGCAGGCCATGCCGTCCGTTGTGCTGCCCGAAAAGGATGGAACCAGGCAGGAGAGCGGGCGAGCCAGCAGGGGCGCCCCTTCCACCCACCCACCCGCCACCCACCCCACCTGCGTCATGAGGATGTCGTAGGCTCCCTCCAGAAACTGCTGCAGGAAGGCATCCAGCCGCACCAGCAGCTCGGCGCCCAGCCGCGGCTGCGCAACGCCGCCGTGGGCGCCGCCGCCGCCGCCTGCAGCCCCGGCCTGGCCGTCCTTCCTCTGCGCCGGCGCCTTCTTGGCGTCCGCCACCGCAGGCAGGCGTGGCAGCTCGGAGCGCAGCGGGTTGTGACGCAGCACGATGTTGCTGCTGTGCTCCGTGTGGCGTCGCACATACACGGCGCCTGCGTGCGTGGCGGCGTGGGTGGGATATTAAGGCAAGGAGATGCAAAGTGTGGCTGGGAGTAGAGGCGGGGCGGCAGCTGGCATCGACTAAGCCGTGAGCAGCAGCCGCAGCTGCAGAAGCAGGCTCACCCGAGTGCGCATGCCGGGAGGGCGCCGCCTGCGCCACGTGCCGCGGCAGCATCGACTTGGGCACAAAGGGCCGCTGCTGCGGCAGGGCCGGCAGGCGCGGCAGGTGCGCGGTGGTGGCCGCCAGCGCGGCCTTGCCGCCCCAGCCGGCAAAGGCGTTGCTGCCTCCACGCTGCTGCTGCTGCTGCTGCTGGCGCCGCTTCTTCTCGGCGGCCGCGCACGCCGCCGCCTGCTCCTCCCGCTGCCTCCGCTCTTGGGCCTCCAGCAGCTGAGGAGCGTCCAGCAGCTGCTGAGGGTCCACTCCGCAGAACAGATGCATGAAGAGCTCCACAAGCACAGGTGCCTCGGAACGGAACGGGCGCTGCAGGAGCAGGATGGGGCGGCGGCTGGTGGCTTCAGCAGGCTAAGCTACATCCTGGCTCTGCCTCTCCGGCACCATCTGTCCATGCCCTTTCTTCTCTCAGCCCAACAGGCAACCACTACAAGCCAAAAGCGCACTTGTGAATCCCACCCCCCACACACACCACCCCGCGCACGCAAATGCACCTGCTGCGAATGCTGGGCCAGCAGCAGCAGCAGGTCCATCACGTTGTCGCCAAACAGGCGCTCCAGCAGGCCCGTCTGGATGCGGCGGGAGGCGTGCTTGGAGGCGCCGGCGGCGCCGCCGCCGGCTGCCGCGGCGGGCGGGGCCTCGGGGATGGCCACCAGGTTCCTTCGGCAGGCAGGAGAAGCAGCAGGGTGATCAGGGACCAGCAGGGGCGTAGTGGGATCAGGGCCCTTGCTGGTCCAAGAGGCTACCGGCTGGGGCCAGGCTGGGGCTGGCTATGGGCAAGCACATCTGCCGCAGGCACTAGTGCAGGCACAGCACAGCACGGCATGGCAGGGAGCAGCACGCAGCGGCCCAGCGCAGCGCGGCGTGGCGGGCCGCACTTGAGGAAGGTGATAACCAGCTGGGTCAGCGCCGCATCCTGCTCGCTCATGCGAGGGTGGCGCGACAGCGGCTCAGCCAGCATCCCCACCACCGCCGCCAGAGCATCCTGAGCCAGAAACGCCTCGCGAACCGCCTGCCGGGGTGCGGGAGGGCAGGGGTGGGGCGGAAGCAGGGGCGCGTCACGGCAGGTGTCAGGGGGCCAAGCCGGGCAGTCGGCAACGTGTGAATAGGCATGCTGGGAAGGATAAGGGCAATGCCGTGAGAAATGGGGCAGCCTTGGTGGCAGCGCGTGGCCGATACGCAGCCCAGCCCGGGACTGCACCCGCACCGCATGCTCGGGGCATTGTCCTGCCCAGCCCACAGGCCCTGCCCAGCCCACCTGCATGTGCTCTTCCTGCTTGGCCTTGTTGCTGGTGACCAGCGGGTCGCTGCTGGGCATGGTGAGAAAGGTGGCCACCTTGACTGCAGGCGGAGGGAGCCGGACAGGCAGGCAGCAGGGGTGGTCAACAAGGCAGACGACGAGCACGGCGGCAGCGGCACGACGTGGTGGCGGCAAGGAGAGGAGATGCAGCTCCAGCAGCTCCTCGGCTGCAGACGCCGGCACACCCCGGTGGGCCCCAGCCCACTGCTCACGTGCGTTGTAGACGACATCGTAATCGTCTGGGTATGTGACAATGAGGGGCACCAGGTCGGAGCGGGCAAAGTTGTACTTGGAGACGGCGAAGAAAGCGGGGCGCTGCTCCGGGTCGTCGTAGCGGAAGAAGCGTTGCAGGTCGCGCAGGCAGCCTACAGGGGAAGACGGATGAAGGGAGGGGAGAAGAGGGAGAAGGGGAGGTGACGGGCACCGGCTGGCGGCGGCTGTCGAGAGCGGCGGGCGGGGTGGGGCGCGAGCTGGCTGGCTGTCGCCGGCTCCAGTGTGTGCGGGAATCTTGTGCAGCCCTCGTCTCCGCGCTTGCCTCTGCAGTCCTCGCTCTTCACATACACGGTGTTCTCCTGCGCATCCTGCTGCCAGCTGCCCAGGCCGCCCGAGGCGATGGATGCCAGAAGCTCCAAGTCCAGATCGGACATGTCAGCCCGCTGTTCACGCCCCCCAAGCCACCGGAGATCAGTTCCTGCTGTGCTTGAAGCTCATTCCCTTGTAAACGGTGCCCACGAGCTGCCTGGCGGGGTGAGAAGTGATCTTGCGATGCCTCGGTGCCGACAGAGAGCGCAGTTGGTGGCGGGAGGCGCCCCAGGGTTTTAAAGGGAGGAGTACCGCAGGCTCGAGCTGTACATGGCCTCGCGGCGCGGCGCGCATTGCCGCAGACTCGCAATCGCTTGCCGCAAACTGTCGCACCACATCTAAGCAGCAGTTGCGCCGATTGCTGTCGGAGCGCCAACGGCAGCGCTCATCACTGCCTGCAGAGAGCTGGAGCTGCCGCGACGATGGCAGACTCGGCCAGCCTGCAGTCTCTGCTCAGTACAAAGGCCGCCCTCGACCTGGGCCTCATCTCGCAGGCCGACTTTGACGCCGTGAAGAGCAGCTTTCTGCGGGCGCAGCAGATCAAGTCGGCCGTCGATGTGGGCCTCATCAAGCAGGAGGACTACGAGAACACCAAGCAGAGCTTCCTGGGCTCCCTCCTAGGCCCCGCGACGGAGCCGGCGGCACCGGTGGCGGCTGCCGCCCCGCAGCCAGCAGCCCCTCGCGCCGCCCCTCCCCCGCCGGCCCCGCAGCAGCAGGCGGCGCAAGCGGCGCCACCAGCAGCGCCGGCGCCGCGGCCCGCGCCGGTGGCCTGGCAAATCCCGCCGCCGGCGCCGCCGGCCGCCGCGGCGGCAGCGCAGCAGCACGCGCCAGCAGCGGCGGCGGCGGCAGCGGCTGCAGCACCCGTGCGCCAGGCGGCCTCCAACCCCGACGTGCCCAGCAACATCCCAAAGATGGGAGGCGCCAAGTCCATGAGCGAAGGGGTGAGTATGTGCTTGGGGGGCAGGGAACGCAGCGGTGCCTCCCAGGCATCCCGCGCTGTTTCCTTGTGGCAGGCTGCCAGCGACCCCTGCCCGTGCTCTGGGCGGGCTGCCCAGAGCCATTCCCGGCCACCATGAGCCGCCGCAACCTGCCCTGCAAACCCCTGCCTGCTGCGCCGATCCCCGCTGCCGTCACCTTGGGCTGCCTGCGCCCCCGCCTCCTACTGCAGACCTCGATGAGCGGCATCTCTGTGAGCGAGGATGCTGTCAACCTCTTCTACCTCATGCGCCTCAAGGCCACGGTAAGAGGCTGCGTTTGGTCGCTTGCGTGCACGTGTGTGGTGGCGGTTGGCGGCGGTTGTTTCCCTGGTGCTTGGAGGGTAACAGGGAGGCAGAACCCACCCAAGCCAGAGCACGCTGCGAGGGGGAGAGTGTGTGCCGCTGCACCTGCCCACCATGCGCCATGCCCGCCGTCCAACACCCTCGGCCTGCCCTGCTGCGTCCGTACCGCCACATGCCTGCAGTACAAGTGGGCCCTGTGGCAGGTGGACGAGTCCGACTCCGCAGTCATCATCGCTGCGGTGGGCGAGAAGGGCAGCACCTGGACAGACTTCCTGGCTGCGCTGCCCGACGCAGACTGCAGATACGGAGGTGGGTGGGTGTGGTGGTGGTGGTGGACACGGCGGGGTTGCAGGGCCGGGCTTGGGTGTGGAGGGCGGCGCGGTATGATGCGGGCAGGGAGAGGGCGCAGCAGGCAGGTGCCTTCGCGGTGCCGCCGCCCCCCGGCTGCCCCGGCAAGTGTGCAGCCTTGCTCATCGTAAAGCCCGCCTGTACCGCGCGCCTGTACCGCAGTGTACGACTTCGACTTTGTCACCCCCGACGGCCAGAAGCTGCACAAGATGATCTTCCTCAACTGGTGCGCCTGCCGCAGCGGCTTCTTTGGCACGCCCCTGGGCCGCCCGCGGCGCGCTAGCGCCGACCGCCGGTGCCGGCTCGCCACGCATCCTGCCTCATCCTTCCCTTATCCTCCCCGCCCCCGCGCAGGGCCCCCGACAGCGCCAAGGTGAAGGCCAAGATGATGTACGCCTCCACCAAGGACTTCTTCAAGTCCCACCTGGACGGGCTGTCGCTGGAGTTCCAGGCATCAGACCTGGACGAAGTCAGCGAGCAGGTGGGGGCGGCTGTGGGCGGGTGGGCGGGTGGGTGGCGGCGGTTCTGGGCATCCAACCCAGCAAAGCCGGCGAGGGTGTGTATATAAGTGTGTGGGTGTGTAATGTGGGTGTGTGTGGTGGTGGTGTGTGTGGGGGGAAGGGTAGTGTGTGTGTGGTGGTGGTGTGTGTGTGGGGAAGGGTAGTGTGTGTGTGGTGGCGGAGGTGTGGGCGGTGGGCGGGGAGAACGAACACTCTTTTCTTGCTGCTCCTGCGGCGCTGCTGCTGGTGGCCTGGGTGGCACCGGCAGTCGGCGTGTGCCTGTGGCGGGTGGACGTTGGCGCTGATCCCTCGCCGGCGCGGCCTGGGCTGCTGCAGGAGGTGGGCGACGCGGTGCGGGCGCTAAAGCGAGGCTGAGCAGTGGCGGGGTTGCAGCTTTCTGCGCCTGCCCAGCCGTCGCGGCAGAGCCTATCGGCGGCTGCGGCGGGCAGCCGCGCTTGCCCTGGGCAGCCTGAGAATTTATTCGCACTGCGATCTTTCCTCCTGTATTAACCGTTATGTGACCAGCAGCGATGATGACCCACACACACCCTTAGTGCTGCCGACCAACCAGCTGTGCCGAAGCAGGTTACAGGAGTGGTCGGTGTTCGGGCCAAAAAGCTTGGGAATAAATTGGGAAAAGGGCACAGGCTGGGACGCAGGCAGCAAATACAATGCACACAACCAAGGACGCAGCGCCGACAGAAAACAAGCGCCAGGCGGCTGCGCGCTGGTGTGGCCAGGCAGCGGCCAGCTCAGGCTGTCGCGGAGCAGGCGATCGCGCCGCGGTCGTCGGTGGGCGGGAAGATGCTGGTGTAGCCGCTCTGCAGCGTGAAGATGAGGATGGCTGCCAGTGTGTAGCCCACCGCCAGAACGCTAAACACAAGGTTGTCCGCCTGCGGCAGGGAGGCAGGAGAAGCAGGGAGTGGGTTGGGGCAATGGGGGAGCAAGCCCAGAAACCGCCTGGCATGCATGGAGCCTCCGCAGTGTGGGCACAGCAATGCGGTAGCCACAGCATGGCGAGAGACCCCCCCTCCACCGCCCACGCAGGCAGCTCACCATGTTGGCGGTGCGCTTGCGGCGTATTGAGTCCTGCAGCCGGCTGCGGCACGGGCACCGCCCCAGCCGGCAGTCGCAGGCGGGCGCGGTGCAGGGGCAGGCGCCGTCCTTGCAGGGGCAGGCGCCGTGCTTGCAGGGGCAGGCGCCCGCCTCGCACAGGCACACCTCGCCCAGGCTGTAGCTCCACGTCAGCAGCCGGGCCTTCATGCGGGAGGGCGAGAAGAGGCGGTGCAGCTGCCTGCCGCCAAAGCCGTTCTCCACCTGCTGCTGCTGCTCTGCGGCCTGCTGCGAGTCGCAGTGCGACGAGCCCAGGGAGCTCAGCTTGTCTTTTTCGGACTCGGCATCCCTCGCGAACGTGGCTGCTGCTGCGGTGGTGGGGCAGCCGTTTGCTGGCGCCCCTGGCTTGTCCATGTGCACCGCCAGCGGCGCTGGCTGTGTGCGCGGCCCTCTTCCCTGCAAGCAACGGCAGCGGACCCACGCAAGGACTGTCGCGCTCATGCCACTGCCGCAGCTCTGGTCCCGCTGGACCAGGCCCAGCGCAGGAGCAGCAGCCTTTAGCCAGGTACTCAGCGGCAACCAACCGCAGCCCAGCCGGGGGCCGCACCTTGCAGCAGGCGAGGCGGGACGCCTTGCGCCCCAGCCACCAGGGAGACAGGGCGATGGCATGCACTGCCGTCCAGATGAACTTAGAGGAGGCGGCCACGTAGCAGTGCAGCATGATGCTTTCCAGGCTGCGTCACGAGTGGGGCAAGGAAAGTGGGAAGAGGGAGGGAGGGTGTCATGGAGGGCATGTGTTGATGGGGCGGGGATTGTGGTGCTTGGATGGAATGGTGTGGGGCAGGGACGGGGCAGGGTGGGATGAACATTGTAATGCATGTGCAAGTTGTGCGCAGAGCAGCACCGCCCCACCTGACGCAGCACAGGAAGGCGTAAGTGGCCAGCACCAGCTGCTGCATGGGGGTCATGTAGCTGGAGGCGGGCACCTTGTCCACCAGCACAAACTGGATGGCTGCATGGGGCGAGCAGGGAGGGAGGAGGAAGGAAGGGGCGAGGGGTTAGCATGTGGAGGGGATGAGGGAGATAAGGAGGCGCCCCCAGACCGTCAGCGAGTCGAGGGCAGCCGCTGCAGGGTGCGGGCCAGGCAGCCGCCCCACGCGCGGCCCACCCATCAGCTGCCTACAAGTGCACACCGGCCAGCGGCATGCCAACACAGGGAGCTGCTTGCCGCATGTGTGTGCATCGAGACCCAGGGCGCACCGATGAGGGTGAGGAAGAGGGTGACCACCAGCTGCAGCCGGTTGTACAGGTGCGTCTCATCCTCAAAGTCTGCAGGCCATGTGGGGGAGGCAGGCACAGCAGCGAGCAGGGTCAGCAGCCAGCTGGCATCACACAGCACCCCGGCAGGCCAGGCGGCCGGGCGGGCACACCAGCCGGCGGGCGTCAAGCATCGCTCCCCGGCCGGCCAACCCAGGCGGCTGCAGCAAGCAAGCGCCCGCAGCGGCGGGGCGCAGCCTCCGCCTGGGCGCCGCGTGGCGGTGGCAGCGGGGCGCCCCTGCTGCTGCGCTGCTGCTCCTGCCGCCTGCCCCGCCTCACCCAGCACAAAGATGAAGAGGCCCAGCACGAAGACCACCAGCACCGGCAGGATGCCGTCCATCCACGACGAGCGGCCAAAGCGCTTGACGGTGATGAACACGCCCCCGATGTCATCGTCCTGGCGCCTGCAGCGGGCCAGGCAAGATGTGGGGGCGTGAGGTTGAGGTTGAGGTGGGTGTGAGGCTTAAGTGGGCCCACGTGTGTTGGAAACTGATGGTGGCAGGGCGAGGGCAGCAGGCAGCGCAAGGGCAGCGGCGGCGGTTGCTTTCGAAGGTATGCCAGCTGCAGGGGCGGCGGAGGCTGTCGAAAGCACCGGCACGGGCGCAGGGACAACGGCAGCGGCTGGGGCAGCGGCGCCGGCGGCCCTCCTCACAGCAGCAGGTTGGCGGCGGCACCGACCGCAAAGTTGCCGGACCCCGCCAAGGCGAGCAGGTCCGGCCAGAGCGGGGCGGGGTCGCCTGGGGCGCTGTACCGCTCGCTGTACTTCACACCGTCCAGCATGGACAGGTTGTACTTGTTGAGGCACAGGGCCACCACCTGGACGGGCAGGCAGAAAGGAGAAAGAAGGAGTGTTACTGAGCCCATGGGAGTAAAGGGAGGGACAAATGTGAGGATGCACCAAGGTGCAGGCACACCCACCTGCCAGTTGTTGGCATCGTCGCCAGCCCCCAGGTTGAACAGCTGCATGAGGGAATGGCGAGTTGGGGAAGGGTTGGTTGGCAGGGTGTGCGGCTGGGCAGTATGCAGCGCATCATCACCACCACCGGAGCAGATGCCCACCTTTGTGTCGCCGCTGGAAGGGATGACCTTGATCCGCTGGCGCCCCGCCCCCATGTTGTCCAGCCTGCACCCAATGGAGGAGCAGGGCGGGCCCCAATGGAGCGTCCAAGCCAACCATTCGCGCAGCCAATCGCCACCAATTCCATCATCACGCCTCGCAGCAAAACGGCAGCAGCGCCATCCAAGACATGGGGCCCTCCAGGCCTAGCCTCCAATGAAAATCAAAAAGCAAAAAGCAAGCTCACCCATAGGTGGACACGTTGATGTCGCGGGTGGTGTCCTTGAATCGCAGCTCGGTCAGCAGGTCAAACGAGTCGAAAGGGAAGTTGGCAAAGTTCATCGCCTGAAGGGAGGGGCGTGCATAGCAACAGCTGTGAGGGGAGAGCGGCGGGCTTGCTGCTGTGCTGCCGACTCCGCGCATGCCCGCCGCTGGGACCCACCCTCCACGCCCTCACAAACGCCATGCACACCAGCGGCACGCTCGCAACACACGCATCGGCGGCAGGGGGCGTGCCTGGTAGTATGTGCCCTGCACCCGCACTTCCCGCAGCACCGCCGACTCGCCCAGGAAGTAGGTGTCGTAGCTGATGCCAGAGTAGCCTGCAGAAGCATCACACGGAGTGGTGTGCAGGGCAGGTGAGCAGGCACTTTCCGGTACCAGCACAGGCCACGACAGGCAGGCCGGTTTTGCCCAGTGACATTTCGTGCTCACCGTACGCGTTCTTGAAGTAGAAGCCAGGGATGTAGATTCCATCGCAGCACCTGCAACCACGTCAACAGATGCAGGCAGCGGTGAAATGAGAGGGCGCCGCAGCACATGGGGGCCAAACAACGAGTCGTCCCAACCCAGCCCCACCAGCATCTTGCCTGGTGTTGTCAGCATGGCTGCTGCATGGCCGCTGGCACTGATAGCCGGTGCTCGCATCTCGCATCTGCAGAGTGGTCTCTGCAGCACGAAACGCAGCACAGTGCAGCATATGCAGACAAGATTGGCGCCAGCACACGCTGTGGCAGCGCGCATGCAGCATTGATCGGCAGCTCGTGCACTGCCGCAGCTGCGGCGGCAGCCGAGAAGACAGGCACACGCTCACCCTCCATCTTGATGCGGGCCTCAGGGTCCACCCAGGACAGATAGAAGTACATGATGCTTTCAAACTGGTAGGCCTGGTCATTCACTGCAGCAAGGAAGGGATGGCTGCTCAGACTGAGTAGGCTTGGGCGCGCCCGCACTGCAGGCCGTGTCGGCACAACCTCCCCTCCCAAGTTGCGGGTGAGCTGTGCTCGACATACTGCACCAGTGGGGGAACTCCCTGCGGCTTGCCTGAGAGCAGCCTGTCCAGGTATGCGCTGACGTAGACCTCTGTGGTGTTGGGGCCGGGAGTTCCATAGCCCTTGAGCGGGCTGCAAGGCAGCGCAGGGCGCAGGCGGGTGAGCAGCGGCGGCGGGTCGGTGGTGCACGGACTTGCAGCCCTGCTGCGCCCCCAGCTTCCCCCCTGGGCAGCCGTGGCACCTGTCCATGCCCGTCTGGGCCTCGCAAGGCCGGGCAACCAGCAGCAGCAACGCTGCCAGCAGCCCGAGAGGGCTTGCAGGCGCGGCGGGAGCCCTCATCGAGCCTGCATTAGACAATCGGGCAGCGTGGGACAGGCCCCGCCTCCTACGCGGAAGGAGTGCACCTTCCTCCCCGTGGCGGGGTACTGCTGGCTGGTCTCGAATCGCTTGAACATTCGCCCGCAGCGGCTAGATTCGCTTGCACAGCCATCATCATCGTGCCACGAGCCCCCTCAGAGGGCCCGGCCACCTGAGAGCCCTGCCACTGCCTTCGCGGGGTGCCCATGGCGAGCCAGAGAGCACAGCTGGCCGCCTGGCTGATCCTGGCTGCCCTGTGTGTCGTTCATGGGCGGAGGCTGGCGCAGGTGAGGCCAGGGAGGCTGCACACTGAGCCCCAGCTGCTTCCTCAGCTGCCGCCACATGTGCTGGTTGGCGTGTCGCTGCTCAAGCCTTCACAGCGCTGCGGCACCAGCAGCTCGCCTCACTTCCGATCGCCAGCTATGCGCAGCGGAGCGGCCTTGCCCTCCCGCCGCCCCCTGCCCGCCCAACAAGCGCCGCCGCCGCCGCCCTTGCGCCACACCATGTAGGAGCCAGCCACCATCCAGGGCAACGAGACGGGCTTGTTTGCTGTGGAGCAGAACACGTGCTACAGGGCGTCCATCCCCCTGGGTTCCAGCACCATCTGCTCCGACCCATCCTGCTGCTGTGAGTGTGGCATGCCTCCCAGCGCGGCAGAAGCAATACAGATGGTGGAAGGCTGCAGGGGTGCTGAGGGTCGTGCCGCGGCCTCCTCTGCGCCGGCTGCAGACATGGCGTGCAACGACATCTGGGAAACCAGCCGCTGCGAGTACTGGTGCTACTGCAACTCCCCAGACGGGTGCGCCTCCAGGGCAAAGCGCGGCTGGCATGCTTCTCGCCCCAGCCACCTTCCGCGCGCCCTTGCTGCTCCTGGGGCCCGCTGCGGCCTGCCGCAAGGTGCCCCTGCCGCTGCCGCCCCGCCCGCAGGTGCACCCTGAGCGGTGGCGACGGCAGCAGCATGCCGCAGGGCACCTGCCTTCTCTCCACCAACTTCAACGCCACGGCCGCGGCCCGCCGCCGCCTGCGCCAGGCGGACCCTGCAGACGCGCTGGTGGCGGCGCAGCTGGGTGCCCTGCAGTCGGTGCAGGTGACCACAGGCCCGGCGGTCCCCTTCACAGCGGGTTTCCTCAGGCAGCTGGCCGTCATCGAGCCCACTCTCCTCTTCAACGGACCACTCAGCCCGCTCAGCGGCTCGGCCAAAAACCGGCCCGTCCCTCCAGGCGAGTGATGAAGCCGCAAACCGGCGGCTGTGCAGCGAGGCTTGGTGGCGGGCATGGTCCAGACCGGGTGGTAGGGGTATGATTTTGGGCCGTTGGGCTGCCACCCTGCTTGTGCTGCTCATTCCCGGCCTGCCCAGCCCCCATCTCAAACCCATGCACGTACACCCCACCTGCTTGCAGCCGTCCCTGCCGATGGCACGGTAAGGACTCGCTGCCACTGCTGGTGCCAGTGCTGCTGCCAGCCCATGGCTAACACCCGCTGCTGCTGGTGCCGCCGCCTTTGGCTGCACCACCAGCCGCCGCTTGCGCTGCCTCCACCGCTCCACATGCCATCGCTTGCCCGCAGCTGCTCATCTGCCCGCCTCGCCCTCCCCCTTGGCTTGCAGGGCGACAGCCGCCGCCGCCTTCTGGGCGTGGAGTCGTTTGAGAGCCGGTACTACCGAGGCCTGGAGGTGCTGGACCGCAGCAACGCCACCTCGGAGGAGGAGTGCAACGCACGTTGCGTCAACTTCACGCAGTGCGAGTACTGGGCTTGGTGCCCCACCAGCCAGGAGGAGGGGTGAGCTTCGCTCCGCGGCCAGATCCCCTCGCTGAGCGGCGGCTGGCCATGGCATGTCGGTGGGCCGCATGCTGGAGTGCAGGCCCCGCTGGGGGCCCAGGCAGGCGTGCATGGCTCCATCCGGCTCATCTGACAGTTTGTGCTGCCTCCGCGTGTGGCCCAGGTGTCTGCTGGTGGAGGCTGTGAACAGTACCGCCACGAAAACCGTACCGCCGGGCACCTGCACCCTGTCCTGGACGCCCACCGAAGGCTCCACAGACTTCCTGGTCATGTTTGGGCCAGCGGTCACCTTCTTTGGCGGCAAGTGGATCCCCAACGATGCGGCCCTGGTGACCGCCGCCGTGGCGCTGGGCCAGCCCGGCGGCACGGCGCAGTGTCTGGAGTTTACTGGGTTTGGGCCAGGCAAAGGCTGGCAGCAGGGTGCATACTCTGAAGAGCATGGTGAGTGCACATGGCAAGGGGCGCAGCTGGCGGGTAGGCACAGCATGGGAGGGCTGTGCTTGGCTGGCAGCGGGCAGGAGGAGGGGAGTTCTGTGCAGTTGCCCCGCCAACGACGCTGCCGGAGGCTGCTGACAAGCTCTGCTGCATTTTGTGCTGGCTGACGCAGACGCGGACGATGCAGACGATGAGCAAGAGTATGACAAGGTGAGAGCACCAACAGGGCCTTGCCTAGCCCAGCACACATGTCGCCTTGCTGGTTGCTAATTTGGTAGTGTGGTGGTGGTCATGTTCCCGCCAAGAACAGCGTCGTGCCCCTGCCCTAGCCCCCAACCTGTGCCTGTTGGCGGCTAATGTGCAGGACCTTGCCACGGCCATCTGCGGCGGGGAGCCCTCCGCCAATGCGGCAGCTTTCTTCACGGCGGTGTCTTCTGGTGGCGGCAAGGCGGCACTGGCGGCGGTGCTCGCCGCGGCGCAGGACGACCTCCCAGACTGCGAGGATGCTGCAGACGTCCTCTATGCGGCTGCAATAGATTCCTTCCGGCTGTTGCAGGTCGCCGGGAACGACACCGAGGCGGCGACAGCGTGAGTGTGGTATGGCGGTGATGGGATGCTGACGCTGTGCCCATGCAGCAGCCCCCGACTGCCTTTCCTCCCCCAGGGCTCGTCAGTGCAAACCCTCACAGCCTGCTTCTCCTGCTGCTGCTGCTGCCCTTGTGTTGCAGGTATGCAAAGGAGTTTATCCAGGGCGCCAAGGCGGCCGGCGTGCCAGCCTGCGCGACGGTGGCGGTCGTGGACGGCGCCGGGGTTGTGCTGGACAGTAACAAGAAGCACACTTGAAACGATTGATTGAGTACCGAATTCAGATATGATATCACAACATTTTTTAAAAACACGCTTTAACACTGTTGTTGTAAAACTGCAAATATCTTGCAGCAGCTGTTGAACAGCCCCGAGATAGCAGCCGCCAGCGATCCAGTACCCTACCACTGGTGCCAGTACCCAGACTGTACCAATGTTTGCATTTACCAAATAGTAGGGGCAGGGGAGAGGAGGAGGAGCAGGGCTGGGGTCCCTGCAGGGGGAGCTCCCCCAGGCAGTACTGCGACGGCGGCGGCGGCAACGAGCAAGAGCTCCTGGTTCGACATGGCGTCTCATCAGAGGATGCAGACATGGCCTTACGGACACAAATGTATGCAAGGATCCATTAGGGACTTCGCAGAAGGAGGAGAACGCGGCAGGAGTAGGCAATGGTCGAGAGAATTTTGGGGGCCATGGCGAGGTGGAAAGTCCTCCACCTCGCTGCTCAATCGAGCTCCAAACGCCGGTCCTGAAGCTTTGACATCGGTCAGAACATCGCCCGTGCACTTTGAGCAAGCTGTCCGACACCTCCAGCTCGCAAACAACCCTTGGATACGTTACACCCAATTGCATTGATCGCATCACGGCTCCTCGATTGCACTGCAAGTTTTCAAGAGCACTGTGCGGCTAGATGGCACCCCCCAAAACGGGCCTGGCTGCCCGCGGCCGCCCTACTGCACCCCAGTCGGCGCACCAGAACCACGGGAACCAGCAGACGGCGGCGACACAGCAGCAGCAGCAGCAAGGGGCGGGCACCGCGCCGTCGGCGGCAGGCGGCGGCAGCGGCGGCAGCGGCCAGCAGAGCGTGCCGTCGTTCCTCCTTGCCAAGGGATACGACGTCCTGGGGGTGATTGGAGAGGTGAGAGTGTGTTACCATAGTGGGCTGAAGGGTTTGCCCGTGCTGGCGTTGAGGCGGGGTGTCACACGGCTGTGACGGTGCCACACCGCTGCACAGGTGCGTGAACGGGCAGGCAAGTACTCTTGTTGCCCTGTGCAGGGCACATTTGGGCGGGTGTACCTTGCACGGCACAGCTCTTACCCGGGCCGCTACCTGGCCCTAAAGCACATGAAGCCGCCGCAGGCAAGCTGCACTGCCGCCCGCTGCCTGTGCACCCGCCGCAGCCTTTCCCTTTGCTTGGCCTCGGGTCTGTGTCCACCGCTTGCTCTCCTCTTCTGCCCTGCCACCTCTTTTACGCTTCACCCCCGCAGAAGGAGTATGAGGGAGTGTGCGCCACGGCGCTTCGGGAGGTGATGCTTCTCAAGGCCCTGCAGGTGAGTGTGCGGGTGGGCACATGTGTTGAGAGGGCTGGGCTTGGGCAGGGGCGACCCTTCCGTCTGACCAGAGGATCTGGCCGGAAGGTGCCTGCCCCCCTCCCATTCGCTGCCTACTGGCCTGCCGACTTTGCGCCTCCCCTCTGCAGCACCCCAACATTATCTCCCTGGATGGCATGCACATGCACGTCAAGGAGCTGGCCCTCTGCCTGGCCTTCCCCTATGCCGAAACAGGTGCTCCCGCTTGGCCACGCCGCCGCAGGCTGCTGATCGCACGCCTGGAACCACCGTAGCTAGCTGGTAGCCGCCTCTTGCAGAAGAACAACTTGGCGCTGTCATCACATGCTGCATGATGTACTGCATGGTACTGCAGACTTGTACGAGGTGATCAAGTACCATCGGGAACGTGGCACTGCTATGATCCCCCATGTCTTCAAGTCGGTGCTCTACCAGCTGCTGGTGAGCTGCCGCGAAGCTGTCGGGACGGCTGGCGGCCGGCCGGCCTTGGCTGCTGGGCTGGGGGTCCTCTGGGCCCAGTTCCCAGCTCCTTCAATCTTTGCGACGACAGGTTGAGGCAGCATGGTGACTGGAAGACAACCGCATTGGTTGCTGCCCAGGCAGAGGTGCCCTCCACCCGCCTGCCAATGCCCCCTTTCTCCAATCGTGCTTCCTGCGCCTGCAGGCGGGCCTGGCATACCTGCACGAGAATTGGGTGTTGCACCGCGACCTCAAGCCCTCCAACATCCTGCTGGAGCAGGGGAGCCTGAAGATCGCGGGTGGGTGCGCCGGCGGCAGCACGGCTGGCGGTCCAGGGGCTGCGCCTGAGGTGTCAAGCTGCTGCTGCGCGCGTCGCTGCTGCTGCGCCCCTGCCATGCACACTATTTCGTCCACCACTCCTGCTGGAAGGCCGCTGAGCCTCGTCCCGCTTGCCAGCCCCTGGCACGCCTCACCCCACCGCCGGCTGACACCGCCGCAGATTTTGGGCTGGGCCGCTCGGTGCGGCAGCCACTGGAGCCTCTATGGAACAACGGAGTGGTGGTGACCATCTGGTGAACACCTTGGTACTTTCCTCGACTGTCCAATGCTTTTGCCTGCCCAACATGTGCCTGCTGGCTCGTGCACTGCCTCATCGCTACCCCCGCCTGAGGGGCCGCCCTGCAACCTGCGCTGCTCTGCACCGAAGCTGTACTGCTGCACGACGCCTGTGCCGCTGCCCTCACTTGTGACGCCGCCTGCCTGCCAGCCGCAGGTACCGCGCCCCCGAGCTGCTCCTGGATGCTCGGCACTACACCGGGGCGGTGGATGTGTGGGCGGTGGGCTGCATCATGGCTGAGCTGCTGCTGCTCAGGCCGCTGTTCCAGGTGCGCGTGCCTGCCTGCTGGGTTACGAAGCGGCAGTGTGTCCACTGTGGCGCATGCACCCATAGAGCGGAAGCGGCTCCTCCGCTTGCGCCTGTGCCTGCCCACTGCCGCCGCTGCTGCTGCTGCTGCAAGCTTTGTTGGCGCCGCCGCTGCTGCCAACCCGTCCCCTCCCTGCGGGGTTGCCATGCCTGCTGCGGTGCAGGGGGAGGAGCGCAAGGGCAGGCAGGACGTGTTCCAGGATGATCAGCTCAACAGGTGGGGAGGGAGGGCTTGTAGAGGCACTTTTGCAAGGCTGTGCACACTCCCAGCGGCCCCAGCCTGGGCTGAGGTTGCGCGCCTGTGGCTGCTGCATTTGCGTTCCTAGCACACCTCCTCACCACCTCCACCCACCACCGGTTCCTCCGGGGCTGCGCAGGATCTTTGCTGGGCTGGGCCACCCTGGCACGCAGTGCCCCTGGCCCGGGGTGCACCTGCTGCGGCACTGGCGCGACGACACGGGGGGCTGCCGCCAGCGCAAGCCCGAGCACGGCTCCACCAACCTGAAGCAGATGGTGTGGGAGAACAGCCCGCTGCTGAGGTGCGCCGGCTGCGGGCCACGCCAGCTCGCTTCCTTGCTCGCCACATTCATGCCCGGGCTGCCAGGTGGACGCAGCTCGCGGATCGCGCGCCACAAGCATGCACGCTGCTGCCACATGTGCGGCCGTGTACCATCGGTGGTACCCTAGTACTGCGGTCCTACGGAGGGTGCGGGCCCCTGCCACCTGCCTTGCGCCGCCTGCCGCAGGGCCTTCCCCAGCCCCGACTCGCTCCTGGACCTGCTGCTGGCTATGCTGGCGCTGGACCCAGAGCGCCGCATCACCGCCGCAGCCGCGCTGCAGCACGAGTGGTTCCGACAGGAGCCGCTGCCCTCGCCAGACTCGGTGTTTGCGGCCCCGCACGGCCGCCAGGCGCCCGCCTACCCGCAGCGAGCGGTGCGGCCGTGCCAGTAGCAGGCGCGGCGGATGGCCGCCCGCACGATTTTGAGATTTCATAGATTTGATTGATCACTGCAAGCATTAGTTGATTCTTCTGTCCCAGGTCACTTGCCGATTAACAGAACACGCATGGGACGGGTGCACACTGGCCTGGCAATCATCTCCTCAAGCCCGGGCCGGGCTGCATTTGATATTAGTGGAGGCTATGCTGGCATCATCAACCTGCCAGACCAACTATACAGGTTGGGGGTACCCAGAGTGGATCCTCCTCAGGTTTTGGAATCCAGCCAGGAAGCACAGGCGTGTGTAGAAGGGTGGGGAGAGCTGCTGCTTTGCCGGAGGTGCGGCAGCGCTGGCGGCGGTGCGGGTCACAATTGTTGCAACCGGCGCTCAAAGTCTCAGGTCCCTGGCCCGTGGGAGCAAACACCGAGTAAAATGAAACGCAATCGTCAAAATGAAAACCAGTCAGTCCCTGACAGTTCAACCGCGCTGTCGGCGCTCGCTGACCGCACACAGCGGCAGCTGTCGGCCCCATCGCGGCGACATCATTATTGGTGTAGTATAGCCGCCAGTTGCGGGTTTCCCTTGCCGGTGGAATAAAAACCCTTGTCCTGCCCATCGTACCGCCCAGACTCGCGGCCCGCCTTAATGCGGATCGTCCAGAACGGCGGTGCACCCAGACAGCGGCCCATTGAACACCATCATGGCTCTGCGCCCATCAAATGCCAAAGCAGCTGTCACCAGGCAGACCACCAAACCGCCGCAACAGCGAGAGGCAGCTGCGGTGCGAACTGGCAATGCTGGACAGCGCATGCATCGAATGCGCATACATGAATGCGATCATGCGCGCCGCAGCGTCCCCATAGCTTGCCGCCTGCCGCCGCCTTGGCGGAGACCATGCGCAGTCGCTGCTCCCCCAACCTGCCCTCACTCCACCCTGCGCAGGCGCCACAGCAGCCGGCAGGGCCCTCGCTTCATGCCGCGGTGCAGCAGGACGAGAAGCATGCCTGCCTGGCGGCCCTGTATGCTGCGCTGGCCGCTGGGGCGGACGTGAACGAGCCAGACGGCAATGGCCGCCTGCCGCTGCACCTGGCGGCAGGCTACAACCGCAACGCGTCGGCGGCGGCAGCAGCAATCAAGGCGCTTGTGGAGGCGGGTGCCGACGTGGCAGCCGCCAGCCGCAGCCAGCGCCGCCAGGCGCTGCACTATGCCGCCTGGAACGGCAGCGGCACGGCGGCGGTGGCGGCCATAGAGGCGCTGCTCGACTGTGGCGCTGCGCTGGCGGCGGAGGACTCCAACGGCTGCCAGCCCATCCATTGGGCAGCCGACAACTACCACTCCCACGAGGCGGCAGTGGCAGCAATCAAGGCCCTGCTCATCGCCGGAGCGTCGGTGGATGCAGTCAACGACCGTGGCGCCACGCCGCTGCACTGGGCAGCCACCAACCGCGACCCGGCGGCCGCCGCGGCAGCCATCAAGACGCTATGTGCGGCGGGGGCTGCCGTGGCGGCCCGCGACTCCTACGGAGAGCAGCCCATCCACTACGTCGACTCAAACAAGAGCGGCAAGGCTGCAGCCGCAGCTGTCAAAGCGCTGCTGGCTGCCGGGGCCGACGTGAGCGCCCTCGACCGCCGCGGCAACACCCCCCTGCATGCCGTCGCGGGCAGCGACCTCGCCGACAGCACAGCGGCGGCGGCGGCGGCGGCGGCGCTTCTGGCGGCGGGCGCTGACGTGGCAGCACTCAATAGTGAGGGTGACTCGGCCTTCATGCTGGCCCTGGAGCGAGGAGGAGGCGCCCCCAGCGAGGAGCTTCTGCGCATGCTGCTCCCAGGAGGGGAGGCCGGGGCGGAGCCGGCGGCAAGCAGCGGCGTGCTGCCCCTTGTGGCCAAGGCCTGGCGGTTGTCGCTTCGGCAAGCCTCCCGTGGCGCGGCAGGGGCGGCGGTGGCGCAGCCGCCGCAGATGGCAGCGGCAGCAGCAGCAGGGAGGCCGCCGGCTGTGCCCAGCCTGGTGCGTGTTGGAGCCCCGCTGCGGAGGTAGGCTTACCACCTCTGGTGCTGCTGTGCCTGTGGCCCAGCATGCGCTTGGTATTCCTTGATGCCCTGTTTACCCATGTGTACGCCCGCCGCGCTGTACTTTGATTGCCTGCCTGCTTGCTGCTTCCATTTGCCATTTGTTCTTTGTCGGTTCCCTTTGCGCCCGCTCCCTGCAAGTCCTGCCACCATGCTACCCTTTCTGCCGTCCATTCCTCTCCTGCCACATCCCCATGGCTTGCTCGATTTCTTCGATTCATTTTGATTTACAAGCTGATGAGACTGTAATGATGACCATGAGCCAGGGCAGTGCTTGTCCTTGTGCTTGCACGCTGGCCAGATACCGTGAGGGCATGGCTCTTTGGTTGCCCTCAGCAGGCGCCGATACAGATCAGTACTTAGCAGCTGCAGTCTTGATCCATCCATGTGTAGATAAACGCTTGTTTCAAGGCGCAGGTGAGCTGTGCGGGTGGCAATGCCTCCAGGCCAGATGTGTTGGCCCGGGACGCGGTCGGCGCCACCACCACCGCAGCATGCCTAGCAGCGCAGCTTAAACGTTTCAGGCGAGCTTTTGCTCACATCAGGAGAGCGCTGCAAGCTGCAAGCAAGCAGAGAAAGAAGAGCAGCCCACATGACCGAGCCCGAGCAGGGCTCTGGGCCTGCGCCCGAGCTTACCGCAGAGGAGGAGCGGCGGCAACGGTTGAAGGCGGGTGAGTTTATCGCGAGAGGTGCAGGCTGCGCCCTGAGCGGGGGGGGGTGCTCGGTGCGGATGGGGGGCCTTGGCCGCACGATCTGCTGCCCCTGGCAGGCCGTGGGACGCGTACCTGCGCTTGCTGCCCGTAGTAGCGGCAGGGGACCGCGCGCAGCACACCCGCGCCGCCCTCCCGCCGCTCGCTCCGCCGCCGCTGGCGGCAGCGCGCGGGCCCACTGCTTGCCCCGCACGCGCACCAACTGGAACGCGCTTGCCCTCCCATCACGCAGCTGGCGAGGCGTACTTCGCCAAGGTGCTGCACCAGAGCAAGGGCAAAGACCTTCTGGCGGTCGCCAAGTCGGCAGCACCCAGCTTGAGCGGCGGCGGCGGCGGCGGCGCGCCGGGCTCGCAGCAGCGCCTGCCGCTCACAGCCTGTGACGTGGACTTTCTTCAAGCAGGGGCGGTGATCGAGGGGGCGCGCACCTATGTGCTAGGCACCATCTTCGTGGCAGCTCAGGCGGTGCAGCTGGTGTTTCTGAAGGTACGCCTCCCCGGGAGCGTGGGGCAAGAGGAGACGGGAGCTGCTGCGGGCTGCTGAGCTGCGTAGCGTCGTGGCGCAGCCAGCCGCCACAGCTGCTGGTAGTTCGCGAGCCCGCCCACCCAGTCTCCAGCTTGCCTTGGTCCATGGCCAGCCAGCTCACCCTGGCACCTGCGCACCCGCCCGCCCGCCTGCCCGCAGGCCTCGCTGACCGCCATCCAGACGCCCTCCCTGCTCGCCTTCCTGCACTTCCTCCCCGTCGCCCTCCTGCTGTGGATGCTGGCCGGCCAGGGCCTGCTGGAGCTGCGCCCCGTCACGCTGCGCACGCTGCAGGGCGGCGCTGTGGCCGCCACCCTGGGCGGCCTGCAGGCGCTGACGCTGTTCTGGGCGCTGCTGCACTCCCAAGTCTTCCTGGTGCTGTGCTGGACCGCGGCGGCGCCGCACCTGCTGCGAGCCACCCTCGACATGCTGCTCAACAGGCGGCCGCCGCCGGGGGGCCGCGTGGTGGCGCTGCTCGTAGGCCTGGGCTGCACAGGTGTGTGGGTGGGTGGTTTTGTGTGGGTTTGTGGGTGAACGGGATGCTAGTGTGTCGTACAGAAGGATGCTTTCTCCAATGGAGTGCCTGCCTGCCCATGCGCCTGTGTTGGGGCGTCATCAAACCGTAGCTGCGGTGCCCGCCTGCCCGCCCCGCCCACCCCGCCTGCAGCTTCGGCGCTGCTGGTGCAGTTCCCGGGCGTGCTGGGCCTGCTGGGCCTGCTGGCCTGGACGGCGGCGGAGGCGGTGGGCGCCAGCTGGGCGCAGCTGCGCCAGCGGCCCGACCTGGCGGCCGAGCTGGCGGCGGCGCAGCAGGGCGTGGGCGGGCTGCTGAGCCAGCTGCTGGACGCAGAGGCGTCGCTGGATGCCGCCAGCCTGGCGCTTGTCCGCCACATCCTGCCGCTGCTGCCCTTTGCCCTGCTGGGACTGCTGCTGCGGGAGGGGCGAGAGCTGGTGAGCGCCGCGCCGCCGGCGCCCAAACGCCCGCCGCTGCCCCGCACCCTGCTCCCGCCTGCCCGCTCGGCGCCTGCGCTGCCATGTTGTCGCGCGTGCTCGTTGCTCCCCTGAGGCTGAGGGGTGTTCCCGCGCCCGCCCCGCTGCCCACGCTGCCAGCCACCCACCGCCGACGCCGGACTGCTGGCTGCTCCCTGACCCACTCCCTCCCCTTGCACCGTCCTGCAGGTGGATCACGAGCTGTCTGTGCCAGCTGTCACCATGATCCTGCTGTCCTGCATGGCCATGGCCGTCTCCGTGGCCACAGACCTGCTCATCACAGGCGGCCTCACCCGCCAGGCGCACGCGGCGCTGGTGGCCGCGGGCCCGCTGGGCACGGGTGAGGCGGCGGGTGCTGTGCCTGCGGGGCGCGTGCTGCCTGCCTGCCTGCGGGGCGAGGAGGTGGATGCGGCGCAGCCCGCTGCGAGGACGAGATGGCTCCCAGGAGTGATGGGCTCCTCGCTCCTCAATTGTGCCCCGTGTGCCCGTGTGCGCACCCTTCCCGCTCATGCAGTGGTGACCGAGGCGGCGGTGCACGGCCTCAGCAGCCCGATAGCCTTTGTGGCGGCCATAGCGTGCAGCATAGCGGGCGTGCTGCTGCGCGTCACCGCAGTGTCCCCAGGCCCCTGAGCAGCCCGGCACAGAGGCGCCTGCAGGAGCGACGCTGCGGGGGCTGCCATGCCACCTCTCTCCCAACCCTTCCGTTGCCTCTCCTGCACATCTAGCGTGGCCTTCCCTGGCCCGCCGGCCGGTGCAGCCCCGGCGCTTGCTGTTTGGCGCCGTCAAGCTGGACCATGGCTTGCAGCCAGTGCGCCTCTCCCTCGCAGGCCAATGCGTTCGTCTGTCTCAGCCCTGCTTGCCGCTCCTTTCTCCAGAGCTCTTCCCGTAAAGAACAATGCTGTGCTAGTGGCAGGAGCACCCCCTGCTCATCCTGCCTCCCCCTTTCTTCCAAAACTGCTTCTCCAACCTGTGGTTGGCTCTGCGTCTCACTGTCAACCTTGTGCTGCCTGCTTGAAGCTGTTTTACAATCAACGCCATTCAACGTAAGTGAAAAGACATGAAAACAGCTGCTGGCTCGGCTGGAGGGCTGCGGCATCATGGTTGGACGAGCAAGGGCATTGCAACGAAAGTGAAAAAGAGCAGCAGAAACCAAAAGAACCCGTGTGTTTAAAGAGCTGGGAAGGATCGGCAGGGCAGGATGGCAGGGTGGGTGAGTGGTATTCATGTGAGGTGGCAGCTCTCCCTAGGGCGCTGGCCCAGGCCCCTCACTTCCACCAGTAGGACACAGAGAAGCTGACTGTTGTGCTCTTCACATAGTGCCACCACCCCCTGGGTATGTACAGCATCTGCCCCGCCTCCAGCACGCAGTCTGCAGCAGGCAGCCGGGCCGGGTGGTGTGAGCGGCACAGCATGGCGAGGCAGGCCCAGCAGGCCCAGCGGCGGAGACAGCCAGCCAGCCAGAAGAAGGCCCTGGAAGCCCCACCTTGGAAGCGCGCCGCAGCAAAGAGCGGGAAGCGTTCGAGGTCTGGCGCATCCACATCCACCCTGCCACTGTTGGTGTGCATGCCCTCGGCGTGCGGGTACATGGCTGTGGTACAGGCGGGGCTGTACAGCCGCACGTACTTGCGGCCCACCGCCTGGCACAGCAGGTTGTGGTGGGGGTCAGTGTGCAGCGGGGTGACCTGCAGGGGGGAAGGCAGGCCAGTCGAGGCAGGCAGGCGGGCCCGAAAAATGAGGGTCAGAGGAAGTGCGCAGAAGGCCCAGGGAGGCCGAGCCTGGCCGCTCCCGCCAAGGGAGCCTGAGCAGGCTGCGGGTGGCGGCGGCGCCCATCCCTGGCGAGCTATGCTGGGAATCAATGCTGCTGCGGGCGAAACAAGGCATGCGTTTCAAGGCCAACAAGCAGCACAGCACAAGAGCTCACCGTGCCGGCGGGGCCGAACCAGGCGTTGATGCTCTGCACCTCGCCATCGCCCAGGCAGCAGTAGGGCGGCTCCCGTATGTCGCCAGCCAGCGCCGGGATCTGGTCAAACAGCGGGTGCTGCGCCAGGTAGCCACGCTGCGCCTGCTGGGAGCCACCAGGCTCCGCTGCCGCCGCCTCGCCCAGCGACCCCGCCTGGCTGTGCACCTGCTGCGGACCGAGCGGCTGCCGGCCTGCCGCTGCCGCGCTGGAGCCCTCGCCGGCGAGTTGGCCGCCGCCAGCAGGCCTGCCGCCGCCGCCGCTGCCTTGGCCCAGGATGTGGTGCTGCACAAAGCGCTGCAGCGTCATCAGCTGCTGGCCCCACTGGTCAGCCAAGTAGTGCTCCCCGACCTGCAGGGTGCAAGGGCGGGCGCAGGTGCGTGCAGGGTTGACTGGGTGAGTCCAGAGATGCACAGAACGCTATGCCGTGGCAGCTGGTGGCTGGCGACGAGGTGGGGGCGAGCGACTCAAGCCCAGCGACTCGATCCCAATTGCGGGGCAGCAGCTGCCAGCGCGCAGCACTCTGCGCTGCAAGCTCCGCCCAACCTGCTACACACACACACACACACGCATGCAGCGCCCTGCCTGCAGCCTGCCCCCACCTCTACAGGCACGGTGCGGGGCCCGGCCACCGTAACCAGGTAAGCGGGGTCTGCCCAGCGCCGCACAGCAGGCCAGCCTTCCATGGCGCCTGCAGGCAGCGGGCGGGCAGCCAGAGGAAGCGGGCGGGAGCACGCTGAGGCAGCAGGGAGAGGCGGTCAGATGGGCCAGTGACCGCAGCCGGCCAGCCCCACACTGCCCACATTGCTGCAGCCCGGCCCCGCCATACAACAGCCAAACCGCCACCCACGCTGATCACGCCTTCAGCCGCTGCCTGCCACCCACCGCTGATCACGACTGGCGTCTCAGCCGACATGTGGCTCTGCCAGAAGGCTTCCAGAGACGGCAGGTCGGCAGCTGCCACTGGGCTGCCCCGCGGCCCCAGTGACCCCGGCGGCAGCAGCGCCGCGTCCGCCGCCTCGGCGCTGCCCGCCGCCAGCCGTGGGCGCTTGGCACGCCGGCCCTCCAGCGCCCCGCTGCCACCAGCCTCCACCTCCTCTGCCCCCGGCGGCCCGTGGCCCCGCTCCTCCAAGCCGCCACGCTCCGGTTGCGCCTGCTGCTGCGCCCCTGCTGCTGCCGCTGCTTCCACTTCCGCTGCCATCCTCTGCACGGCCTGCCAGCGGTGCTGCAGGGCCTCAATCAGCCCATCCACCGCAGGGCGCAGCAGGGCGCCGCCCATGATCGCCGCCATGTCCAGATGCCACAGCGCCGCCCCCAGCGCAGCGGCCTCCGCCGCCGCTGAGCTAGCCGCTGCCGCGCCGGCCTCCTCTGCCGCCGCTGCTCCTATCCCGCCCTGTGCGGGTCTGCCGCTGCCGCCGGGCAGCCCCGCTGCGGCTGCAAGGATGCAGGCAGCCGCGTAGGCGTCCCTCCACACCACTGCCACCGCATACCAGTCGCCGGTGTGCAGCTTCTCCCAAGCTACCTGCTGCACCACCTCTGCCAGCCTGGAGGTACTGCCTGCATCGCCACCGCTGCCAACGCCCCCAACGCTGCCCTGCGCCTCGGCCTGCCCCGCAGCTGCAGCTGCAGCCGCAGCCGCACGCTGCAGCAGGTCTGCCACACTGGGGCCGCCAGGTGCGGCCCCAAGGTCAGCCAGCAGCTGCCGCCACTCGGCGCGGGCCTGCAGGGCTGCCACCTCCTGCCGCAGATCCACTGCACGCGCCGCCGCCGTAGCCGCTGCTGCTGCTACTGCTAGTGGTGCTGTCGTTCCGATCATTTTCTCCTAGATGCGCTACTCACAGGCTGGGCGCTGGTGCGCCAAATCAAGCCTGCTAACCCCTCCTGCTGCTGCTGTTGCTGCTGCGCCCTTCCAGGCGGCCGCAGCCGGTGGTGGTGCAGCTGGCGACGCTGCACCCCCTGCGCAGCTACTGCTGGCTGGAGAGCCGCTGCAGCTCTGGCCGCAGCTTTATGGGCGAGCAGATGAGGTGAGCCGAGTCCGCGTCGGGAGAGGGCAGCTCAGAGGCCACCAGCTGTAGCGCAGCCACCGCCTCTGCAGCCGCGCGGCTGCGTCCCTGCTGCCGGCCCGCGGCCTCCTGGCCTGGGAAGTCCTCCTGCAGCTGGGGCTGCGGGTCCAGGCGCTGGGCTGCTCTGAGCGCGCGGTCAATGATATCTGCAGCGCTGGCTTGGATGGCTGCCACTGCCGCCGCCGCTGCCGCGTTGCGGCCGGGGGTCGGGCCTGTCGGGGCAGGCGCTGCTGCTGGGGGCTGCACTGGAGACTGCGGCTCCTCAGCCACAGCTGCCGGCACCTCTGCCACAACCACTGCTGCCTCAGGCTCGCACTGCTGCTGCTGCACCGGCTCGAAGCCCGAGGTGCTGACTGGCGGCTCAGCTGCTGCCTCCGGGGCAAATGCCGCTGCCACCGCCGCAGCCAAGCGCCCCTCTGCCTCCGCGTCGGCAGCTGCCGCTAGCACGCTTGCAATGGCCGAGGCTGCCACACCCGAGGCAGCCGCCGCAAGCTCAAGCTCCTCCTCTGCTGCCGCTGCTGCGGCGACCTCCTGCTGCCTCTCGTCCTCGGCGGCTGCGGCTGCTAGCACGCCTGCCACTGCAGTCGCTGCTAAGCCACTAGCAAGTGACTCCAAGTCCTCCTCTGCGGCCGCTGCTGGCTCCTCTTCCTCTGCTACCACTAGCTCTGGCTGTTGTGCTGCCGCGTCTGCTGGCCCTTGTTCGGCAGCAGGTGGCACTGCCTCACCACTGGCAGGCACGGCTGGCGCTGCTTCCTCGGCTACGCCTGGTGCCGCTTCTGCTGCTGCAGGCACGGCGACCACTGCCACCGCAGTGACTGGAGCTGCTGCTGCCACTGCTGGTGCAGCAACTGCTGCCGGTGCTGCGGCTGCCGGTGTGCCCTGCACAGGTGCTGGTGGCGCTGCAGCCGCTCCGAGTGCGATGCCTGCCGCTGCTGCCGCTGCCGCCGCTGCTTGCTCAGGAGTGAGACCCCGCAGGATGTGGTTCAGCTCCCCCCAATCCTCCAGCTCCTGCACGGCCAAGCGGGGCAAGCCAGCGCAGGCGCGCAACCAAAAATACACTGATTGGCACCATGGAACCTCCTTTCCCAGGCGAGATGACGGTCGGACCATCCGCAGGCCTCCCGGTGGCCCTCCCGCTACCTGTATGTCCTCTGCGGTGCCAATGTAGCGCCCGTTGATGTGCAGCTGGGGCAGCAATTTCACGCCGTCGCTGCCAGCCAGCATTGCCTCGCGGCGCAGCGGCTCCATGGCCAGGTCAATCTGCAGGAAGGAGATTGGTGAACGGGAGACACTGAGGATAGATGGCAGCAGATCGGCAGCTGCCCAGCACAGGCGGCAGCCGTTAGCCGCCGACTGCGCCGCCGGTCGGGGGTGGCGGCTAGCCTGCGGCGTGCGGCGCATTGTCGCTGGACGCCGGACGCTGTATCGACTTGTGCACAGGCGGCAGGAGGCGCCTGCTCGCCCCCAAACGGCCCAGCCTTCAAACGCGGCTGATCGCGTCCCTGCGCACCTCTTCATATTGCACCCGCTTCGCTTCCAGCAAGATCTTGATGCGGCCGATGTCGGACCTGACTTTGAGGGTGCCAGCGGACGAGGTGGAGTAGAGCACCACCTGGGGAGCGGTCATGGGCGCTGCGCCATGCCCAGCAGCGTCCTAGAGTGTGCACGGGAATGTAGAGTGGCGGTGCGTGGCAGCAAACTCAGTTTTTAGGGGATCCCAATGCAGTTGCTGACGCTGGCAGTGGCTCCCTCCAAGCACGGCGGGCCGCTTGTGTGTCATTTATCACATCTACTACAGACCCGCCGGATCAACAGAGACTGCAACAAGGAATGGAGCCCGACTTGCACGATCGCCACGGCTTCATGCGTGCGTTCCGGCAGGTGCGGCCTCCCCTGCTGGAGCGTGAGGCACGCACACGGTTCCTGCTCTGCGGGCGCAAGCGCCAGCCCCAGTGTGGCAGTGCCTGGCGGCGCTGGCGGCAGGCGGCTGGTGGCGTGCAGCCCCGTGCCATATACTGTCCGTCTTTCTGCCGGCTCGTCTGTCTGTTACTGTAGCCGTAGGATCTGCCTGCGCTGCTGTGGCCCTGCAGGTGCTGACGGCGCGCGGCTTTGCCTTCTGCGACTCGGGCGAGCCAGAGCAGCCGCAGTTTGGGCTGCCCGAGGCCGGCAGGCGCGGGAAGGCACTGCTGCTCGAGGGCGTGGAAGCGTCCAGCACCGACAATCCGCAGCAGAGCATAGGTGCGTGCAGGCCCCCCGGGGGCAGGGCTGGCCGACAAGAGGAGGTCATTATCTTGCACCAGGGGGCGCGCTGATGGGAGGAGTGCGACACCGCCACGCCTTGACGAGCAGGCAACCCCGGCGCTGCAGATTGCACCCTGGATGATGACGCCGGCATGTTTTGGAGCAGCATGGGGTCGCAGGCCCCTGAAGCCAACGAGTACCTGCTGTACAAGCTGAGGTGAGGTCCTTATGGTTCTTCGATTCCACAGGCCCAGCCCTGCGACCCCCACGTCATTGCCTGCTCATCTGTTGCTGCTTTCGATTGTTGATGGCCTGTGTTGTGTTGGGGATGCAGGTCGCCGCTGTGCCTAGTCCAACACGTGCAACTGATCGTGTTCCGTGCGCACTACCAGGTGATGGTTGGGCGGGAGGCATTGGAAGCGCGTCAAGTTGGATGCGTTGCATGGCACGATGGTGCTCCTCTCCTAGTCGCTGGAGGCCCTCGCCATGTCGCTTGAGGTTCCTTCCCCACTTGCATGCAGTTTGGGACGCCCGTGTACCCGCCGTCGTTTATTTCCTTCCAATGTGGCCCCTCGCCCTGGAGCCTGGCGCCCCCAACCATCAAATTTCCGGTGGCCGCCACAGGTGCGAGCCAAGATGGCCTGGTCAGTGTTGACTTGGGTTCACGGGCGAGCCATCCAATCTTGCCTTTGGGGTGCAGACGCGGTTCAAGCCTTCCCGATGCCAGCCGACCTGCCGGCAGGCCGCTATCTGCGCGTCAACCTACATGGCAAGCGTCAACAACAATTGGAGGACATGCAGGTGGGCAGCAGGGCCCCATGGGTTTTATGCATACGCAGGCCCGAATGCCAGCCTGCAAACCCCGGCTGCACCAGCATGTTCTTTGCAGTGGTATCACGCAATACAACAGGTGGAGGCATGGGGCGAGCGCCTATCAGCGGCGCAAGCGGTGCACCTCCAGGATTGGACCGCCTGCCAGCTTTCCCCGTTGCCCGCGCCAGGCGTTGTGCCTGCGTACCTTGCAGCCAGTGTGCTGCGGCTGCAAGATGAGGAGCACTTGGGAGAGGAGCAGCCCAGTGAAGGGCAACACGAGCAGGTGGAGGCAGACCTGCAGCGGCAAGAGAGCACTACATCGAGCCTCAGCTTTACACATTGATGGCTGCTCACACACCTTCCATCTTTTCGCAGCCTCCCTGCTATCGTCTCTTCTTGCCGCTCACTCAGTTCACAGCGTTCAGTTGATATTGACTGTGTATCATTGCGATTGACTGTGTATAGCGTTCATGATTGACGTTAGCGTTCATGATTGTGTAGAAATCGGGCCCGATTACAAGGATCAGGGCAGCGGAAGCGGCAGCAAAGGGAAAAAAATCTAGCATCGACAGGGTTCGAACCTGCGCCCTCAGAGAGGAGGGGAAGCCACATGAAAATGTGGAAGTGAAAGCTTGAGTCCCCCGCCTTAGACCACTCGGCCACGATGCCATCCAGCACAGCCTATCTTTCCAATTTCCGGAACTACAGTATCCTCTAATTTTGAAAAAATCCAGATGCTATCCGTCCGTTGTTCATCGTTCCTTGCTCGAGTCCCCCGGCGCGGCCGGGCCCCGCGCCCCCCTCCCGCTCCTCTGGGGCCCTTCTTGAGCAACACCCTGCCTTGGGGACGCAGGACGAGGGCGACCGCAGCATCGCCGGCTCGCTTGGCCCGCCAGCCGCCCATTCTGCAACTGCCCGCACTCGAGATGGCCTCCTGATGGTGCGTGGAGGGGTGCCCCGGGCCCTGCGGCGCCCGCGGCTCGGCTAGTCCGGCGAACACCCCCTCGGGCCGGTGCCGGCTCCCGGCCCGTTGTATGAGCCCCCGTGTGCCCCGTTGGTGCCCGGCCACCCCCTCTGCGACTTGTTCGCCCCCTACGACGCGTTTTGTGCGCGCCAGCCCCTCCCCCCAATTCCCGCTTCCGTGTGTCGCGGCCCCAAGCCCTGGTGCTTTCCCTTCAGCGAATTGAGACGTGGGGTGGCGTGGCTTGGCGGAGGAGCCTGTTGCCGCCGAGCGATTTGCGTTCGGGCGGGCCGCTGCTGCTGCTGCCGCCGCGTGCCGGGCGGCCCGCCGTCCCCCCCTCTTTTCGCTCACTCCGTGCCTGCCGTTCTGGTCGTCACGCCCCTACTCTCCCCCCCGTAACCCGCAGATGCTTGCGCTTTTGCGCTTGCCCCGTCCTCCCCTTGCCCGGTCTTCCCGCGTGCCGCCTTCACCTTTGCGGCCCCCGCCCGCCCGCCTGGCCGCTCTCCCAGCTACTGTGCCGGGGTGGGTGGGCCCGCTTTCTGGTGGTGGTGGTGTGCGGGTCCTCGACCTGCCCCTCCCCCCCACTGGTATGCTTGCCGCCCTTGGGCTGGCCATCAGGCGCCCCTCGCCTCCCTCCCCGCCCTTTGCGCCCGACCGCTCCCTGAGCCCGCCCTTTGCCGCCCGGGCGGTATTGCATGCTTTCATACAGTCCAGAGCTAGTGGGCACGGCTTGTGTGCCCCCAGCCCATTAATGGGCATTGCCTCTGTAACATCACAGATCACAGATCACAGATCCGTCGTTGGCCGCGACGTTAAATAAGGAGCTGGATGAGTGCCGGTGGGTGATACCACAGGCACGAGTTCGAACCCCAGCCGGGACACTAGCTGGGACTTTGCCTCACGGCACCTTCGTGGCGGCATCTGGGCGGCGGGCGGCTGCCCGGCAGACCGGCATGGCGCTTGCAAGACGGAGCCTCCCCGGGATGCCATCGGCGGCCAGATTTTCCTCGCTCTGGACAGCCGGCAGGGTTAGTGGGTTCGGCCCCAGCACATTAATGTGCCCAATCCCTGTAACACACACACACACACACACATCCGTCGTTTTTTTTTTTTTTTTTTCGAGAATTTCCCGGAAGCCGCCGCCGCGGCCAGCAACCCCTCCCGCGACCCCCATGGGGTCTTACGCAGCGGTATTGATCCGCCCTAGGCCCCCTGGCCCTGCTTTGGGGCCTCGGCCTCAGGCGCGCGCTGGGGGCTCCCCTCGTGCCCAGCGGGCCCCCTGGGGTCCGGCTGCTCGTGCGGCCGGGCCCCCAGGCCCACCCAAAGTCCGCCACACTATCGCCATCTCCAAAGTGCCCGAGTTCACTCGCGTCACTCTCCGCGCCCAGCTGCCGCCTGGTATGAGCATTGAGGAGGCCAAGCGGCTGGTGCTGCTGGCTGGGCCCGCCCTGGTGCTGTCCCGCCTGGAGCGCGGCCCGGATGCCAGTGGCCCCTCCTCCCCTGAGCCCGTCGTCTCCCAG